ATCACCTGATAAGAATATTTATAAAGCCATTTAATTTGAAAATTAAGGTATCTTGTAAAATGTCCTGTGATTTGGAATAAATAAATAAAGAAATGCGCCTGTGACAACATATTGACATTACTAAACTATTTCAATATGATGGCTTATTTATAAAAGCTGTTTTAATATTCCCCTACATTAATGATTAACTAATGAATCTTACTTTCCTGTGTATATATTTAAAGGGGAATCAAACTGACTTTATCTACAGGATTCCGCTAACAAGACTGGGCTGGCTTTGAACTTTTCAAATATCAGCAGTTTTCCTGACACTAGTACGGAAAACCGCGCTACCAGTTTTGGGCTGTGGGCTGAATGAAAAACAGTACTAAATGACTAAAGGTCCACAGTTCTTTTCTGTTAAAGTTGATTTGTCACAATATTGTTAATTAGTGAGGGCTTAGGGAAGGCTTACTATGAATATAATTACAGTGCTGAAAAGCATTAATAACGCTCTTATCCCGAGCCAACATGATGCTATTTACATATTTTACCCTGGCATATACCAGAAATGGCTCCCAATGCATAACGTGCAGTAGGATCATCAAGAGAAACACACAAAACCTCACAGGGGAAGGATGTTTCTGAGTGTCTTGGTGCTCTTCAAGACAGCAGGAACATTAATTTGACCAGTAATTACAACCGTCACCATAAGCATTGCCTGTGGTGAGTCACCTTTCATCATGAACTGCTGTTCCATCGGGAGGCAAATGAATGGCTACTCCTGGTACATAATCTGATGCAATCTCACTCTTCTCTCATAAATTAGGACAGAAGTGACGATTGCATTTGTCTGCTATATAGGGCAGGCTTCTTTTCACCTTCAGAGCTCTGCGTGCACATCAATCAGTTCTCAATGAATAAACTATATGATAAAAGCCAATTAACCCTTGTTATCATTATCGCCTATTTCTACATGCCACACCAGAACTCCTGCCCTTCTTACACTGAAAGGCAAAACTCAGACTGGGTTCAATGGGGCCAGAAATTCACCCAAAGGCACTAAAGGCTGGGCCTGCGTTACTGGACCTGTGTGACTTTTGCTGTTCAGCTGGTGAAGAAGTGAAAGTGTTTTGACATTAGCCACATAAGATGCTTTTGCAAACTGCCCCGAGGAGCCTAGGCACCTCTTCGGGGGCTGCATACCTTTTGTGACTGTCACTAAGGGATTTGCTAAAGACCACACACCAGGTTGTTAGCAAGCAAGAGCGAGAACCCAACTGTTTCCAAATCTTCGCCTCTCAGCACAGTAAATTTCCCTAGGTCCGTTTCAAAGAAGACAAACATTTATAGCTGAATTTTAAACATCAACACCTAATTTAATTATGATTCAAGGTCATTTATCTACACGATGATAAAACCCCCTAACTAAAAAGCTCTCTGAATTTCAGGGTATTCGGTACAAAACATAAGGCATAGTCAGGAAATATTTTTTCACTTAGGTACAACGTGTCAAAATGAAAATTATGAAGCAAAATTATCACCTAATTTTACTGAATCAACTATTACCCCCAAACAGATGTATCTGACATTAAGCCTGCTAGACTGCTTTTGCCTGGTTGAGCCTACTTTCCTAAACAAAGCCAGCTGACACAAGAGGATGGAGGTCAAACAGTCTTGCTGTATGAAGCTTGCACTCACAAGATTATTTGCTCAGAGGCGGAAAGATCTGGGGCAAGGTAAGGACTTCTTGATACTCCGAGGGGAAGGAGGAACTTAGCACATTCATGCGTGGAAAACAAGTCCCGATTTACTAAACTCCTATTTCCAAAGTAGCAAACAAACTTCCTCATCAAAGCTGCCAAGGAGTAAGAGGAAAGATCTTTACATGGAAAAATAAGTAGTTAGATTAGTAATTAGATTAAAACAATGGGCAAGAATCAATGTATCATTTTCACAGTGAAGGAAAGTTACCTTATTGTCTTACAGGCATCTTTGGCCCAGAGCCCATGTTTCTCAACTTAATAAGAAATCACTTTGAAAAGGGGGTTAATTTGGAGACAGGAATATTTCATATCACCATATTCAGCATGGAGATACTGATGATACTATATTACTGTGAGTAGTAAAGATGAGCCGTGAGAAGAGACAGAATAGGAGCTCATGGCCACCAGGGAATGCACGCTAAAACAACAGATGACATTCAGGACCCATAAGTGCAAAGTTATGCATTCAGAAAACAGTTCTGTCTTCACACGCTCTATGATGAACTTTGAGCTGAACATTATAAAGGAGGAATGACATCTAGAGTTGTTAGTATTATTACAGCAATATTAATTCCCAGAAATAATCTGCCATAAAGCAAATCCAATAATAAACATGATTACAAACAGCCTAGAGAATAAACCAGACAACATCATTATGACAACCGTTAAAGTCACAATTTGTCCACATCTTGAATACCAGGCACAAATCTGCAGAATTGGAAAAGAGAGAGATTAGCATGAAAGGCCAATTAAAAACACAAGACAGCTTCTTTGCAAGAGACTAGGGATTCTCTCTGGAAACGAGGTGGTGGGGGAAGGATGCCAAATACATAAAATCACAAGGGACATGGAAACAATATGAAGCGGGAATGGTTGTTCACCATTTCTCCAATACAAAAACTAGGTGATAGCAAATGAATAGAGCTGGTTCATAACAAAGAAATGGAAATGTTTCTTCACTCAGTGTATCATTGAGACCACCTTATTGAGTACATCTTATGCATCAACTGCTTAAGTCCTTGTAACAGGAACAAGTAGATACTAAAAGTTTAAATGGATTAAAAAACAGGTAATGAAAAAGTGCTGCTAAATACAAGGACACCACCTCTGTCTCAGAAAGGCCTTAAATAAAAATTTGCTGGGAGACCATTCGGGAGAAAGGTCACTAGTGCTGGCCTGACTTCATACCCTTTCCTAGGCATCTTCTGCTGGTTATTGCCAAAGGCAGTCTGGGCCAGCTGGACCATTGGTCTAGCACAGTACAGTAGTCCTTACATTTTTATCTCTATTCCTTCCTCACCACTTCCTCAGAGCAGAAATGGTTCAACAGCACTGACAGCTCAGGAGATCTTGTCTTTCACTTAGTGTGCTAAAGCTCAATGAGGGCAGGAGGAAAAAGAGCAGTTGAGTCACTGTGCTGGTTTTGGCTGGAATAGAGTTAATTTTCTTCATAGTAAGCTAGTATGGCATTACGTTTTTGATTTGTGCTGAAAACACTGTTGATAATAACAAGGATGTTTTCATTATTGCTGAGAAGTGCTTGCACAGCGTCGAGGCCTTTTCTGCTTCTCACCCCACCCCACCAGTGAGTAGGCTGGGGGTGCACAAGAAGTTGGGAGGGAAGAGAGCCAGGACAGCTCACCCCAACTGGCTGAAGGGATATTCCATACCATATGACGTGATGCTCAGCATATAAAGCCAGGGGAAGAAGGAAGGGGGGAAGATTGGGGGTGACGGTATTTGTCTTCCAAAGTAACCATTATGTGTGACAGAGCCCTGCTTTCCTGGAGATGGCTGAACCCCCGCCTGTCAATGGGAAGTAGCAAATGAATTCCTTGTTTTGCTTTCCCTATTCAACTGTCTTTATCCGATTCTCCCTCCCGTCCCAACAGGGGGGAGTGAGCAAGTGGCTACGTGGTGCTTAGTTGCTGGCTGGGGTTAAACCACACCAGTTGAGCAAGTGCTGGACAGCAGCACGCTGGAGATGGTGAAGGGGCTGAGAGCCCGGGGGGTACAGTCCTCTGTTCTGGAAGCATTAAATTTTCTTCCCACTGAGTAAGCGTAGGGGAGAGACTCCAGACTCACTGGCTATTTCAGGATTGACCAAAGGTCAAAAACAAGCACTTCAGAAGTTTCAGGAAGTGACTTGGGTAAATTTGGCTTGGAGGAATGCTAGTCATCTCCCTGCAAGGGCTTAGGTTTGGTCGACTGAAACCAGGAGGAGCTCAGGACTGCAGCCAATGAAGGTTGAAGTGGCATTGAAATGTCTCCCCCTATCCAAAATTAAAATTTCATTTTCTTCAGCTAGACTGCCCTATCATGACATCTGTACAAGCAAACATTAAGAGGGAAGACAGCATAACAACATTAAACACAAAGCAGAGTAGGCAAGTGGAAGCCTTAGGAGCTACACCCACCCTGCCCAAGCTGGCTGGTCCTGGGAGTAGCTCAAAGCCCACTGTGCTCCTGAGATTCATTACTGAATTTGGGCTGCTTAGAGATTAGAGCTGCCTTCTTAAGCAGGTTTATACGAGCGCTGACCTGACCCTTCTCCTCACCTTTGGTCATGTGACAAAGACATACGGAATACAGGGACATGTTTGGGTCACAAATATAACTCTAGGTGAAACTCCGTTGTATCTGTAAGGTCTATAATGTACCCCAAATTTTCCTTCTCACCCCTTGGTTTCTCCCCTCCCTGTAGGATTCTACCCTTCAGCCCTTGAGTTGAGTCCCAGGGCACTTTGGGGTACACAAAGCAGAGGGTTGGCAGTCTGGCCTCAAACCCAACCTGGATGGTACTCCTGCACTGCAGAGCAATCAGAGGTCTAGAAGAAACAGGCAAAAGGTCTTGTAAGAAAGGGGTAAGGGACCCACCTTACACTGAAAAGGTGAATTTTGACTCTACAAGGTAGTTTCCGAATATTTGAGAGATTTTCCCTCATAGGAAACAACAGAGCAGTGTCTAAAAACAATAAAGGAAACCTTTCCTGCTGTCTGAGACACTGTACAATGTCAGAAGGTTTTCATGTTGCAATTTATGAAGCTGTACCTCCAGTGAAACCTAACTGTACATTTCTTTTTAATGTACGCTGAAAATGCCATGTACTAGCAGTAGCTATTCAACCACGGTACAAAGTCACACATGCATCCTTCCCTTACATGTAGCCACGGTCACTAGCTGCAATTCAATGGGCTATGAGCAAGGAGGAAAAAAGTCTCCAATATATTAGCCAGAGATATTTCTTGAATGTGAACCTACTTTATCAATTGATATATTTAACATACAAATACTGGAGTGTTTGCAGTCTCACAATTAACATAAGGGATTTAAATTTTGAAAGTGTTTTGCAGGATTTTGCACCTGAAGCCTGCAGTATTTGAAAACACAATCAAGTTGTGCCTTGCGGCAGACTATAGTCTAGTAACATCGAGAGGACAGACTTAAAATAAGCATCTACATCATTTTTCACAGTACACAGTGCCACAATGCATCTGCTTAAAAACAAATATATGTTTGCAGTGAAACATTTCAACAAATCACAGAACTCAGCAGCAAAGTAGTTAAACATTTATGATTTGATTTTATCTCAGCTTGGAATGTCGCTGGAGTGTCCCACTTCTAACAACTGTTTGCTAAGTTAAGGCTTTAGTGTTTACACAGTGCTGAATGAAGCAGCCTGGTCACCAGATGTGAATGCTTCCTTAGACTAGAGCTTTCAATCAGATCACGGTCCTAATGGTCCCTGCTCCAACCTTCTTCCTCAGGACGTCCACCAGCCTTTCCAACCTGAGAGGGGGCAGGGGAGAGGGAGAGGGGAGAAAAAAAAGGAAGCTAACGTTAGGAATGTTCTGGCTGAAAGAGACAGTGTTTGCACTGAACCAAGCTGTCCTGGTGGTGGTCACGCTCAGAAACAAAGCACTACTGTAAAAGACAGACATTAAGGGAAAATACAGACAACTTACGGAAAACTTTTTAACCTACAACGCAATCCATTTGCAGTCAGTGATACGTACCAACTCACTTTTCTTTTGTAGTACATGTACTATCTGAGGTCCCTATAAGGCATTAACACAAAACCCTGTGCAGCAATCCGGTGGCATATATACACTTCGGTGTAAGCAGGACACTCAATTCTTGCACTTTTTAAAATACAAGTAGCTCATGGCTCTTGTTAAATGTAACACTTAGCTGTCGTTTCCCCTTAAAAGATACCTTGTCTGTTATCCAACAGATACTTTTATTGTCCAGTTTATAAATTTATGCCTAAACCCCCATGTCTTTTATGGAAAATTTTTTTTCAAAATACTCAACAGCCCAAGTTTCTGAGGATGTGGATGATGATATTTTGAAGGTGGCCCATATGATGATTATGTTGACACAACTACAGAAAAATTAACTGTCTAAATAAGTAGGACAGAAAGCTGACTAATTATCTCTTAGTTTTAAGGCACAGGCTATAAGCATGTCCAGCATCTCACTGACTTAATTTGTTCTTTCCTTCTGTTAAAGTATGCAGGCAAATGCAAAAGGCTAAATTTGTTCAGGGTTTTCCATTTGCACACATTTATCTTCAGCACTCCAGTAATCATGAATTCAAGCTATTTCTTCGTTTTATCTTTATTTTATGGAATCCTTCAATGAAAGCTCTCCCACAAATAATCTAACTATATAAAAGCAGACTCGGTGTGTAGTAGAACACTTTTAGAATCATGTACAGCATATTAGACACACAGCTTCCATAACGGATAAAAAGAGTTGTGGGTTCAAATAGCTGTACTCACTGTTGCAAAGCTGACCATTTTTTCTTATCTGAAAAGACAGGGTTGCCTTTTTAAAAATATATTATACAACATGAGGAATGCAGATAGCAAATAAAAATAACACAGTGTTATCAAAACTGCAAAATTCATTTTATGTTATGGATGTATTAGTAACTTCAGTGCAGGAAAACTAGCTAACACGTCTTGGATTTATTGCCACAAGTCATGACTAACGCGCATGGTACGTATTGAAACACTCTTGTTTTCCAGGAACCACCAAGCACCACGAAGCTACACCTCTCATTGTACTCACCTGGTGACTTAATTCCTGAAACGAGATTAAGAATTCACCACCCTAATGTAATTATCAGACACCAGGAAATATATGTGGAAAGTTCAGCTGGTTCTAGCTGTTTCACAGGGACTCTAAAGGAGTGAAAGCACAGGTGAAAAACTATTGCTTAGTTACTCTTCTCCCTTCAGTTTTCTATGTATCGTTTTTCCTACTAGTGCATTTTACCTGGTTTTGTAACATACATCTACTGCACTTCTTCGTCTTTATGGAGGCAGCAGCCAGACAGTCATCAGTCACTGCAGTCAGTCCATGCAAGTATGAAGTCAGCACTTTCACAAGTTATTTGCTCCTGAAAATTTTCTCAGAGTGGCTAAATCAATGTTCTTTGGGTTCTAAGGGTTTTAGCTGAGTTACTGATAGGTCATAGTTTCCTCAGCCTCTCTTACTGAAAAGTTTCTCTGTTAAATCAGTTGTTAGTTCATGTGCAATTTCAGAAAGTAGTGGCAGATCAGTCGCCACTTTTAACCGCATGTATGTTCAGAAGCATTGCAGCTTTCTCAGCCACTTTGTCTATCACTGGAGGTCTCTTTCTCTCTTACACTAGCACCCTCTCTAATGTGCTTCAGAGCCATAAAGCACAGCAGAAACATTTCAAACTGTCAGGACAAACAGAAAGTTTGGGCTGCCAGTTGTTTTCTGGGCAACAGCAGAAAGGTAGTAAAATCTGAGGTCACGGTTTATTTAAATCACTGTTCAGTTAAAAAGAAATACTGCGTGCCTTATACAAGTGGGGGGAAAATGACTGCAATAATTGAGGTTTCATTTGGGGAGATGTAGGTTGGAGGTCACTGCTTATACACTGTCCTGCAATTGGGCTTAGATGTGCACCACTCTGTGACCAAGCAATGACACTGCACACCAGAGCAGACAAGTTAGCGAAGAGCTGCCCATGTTTGAAGAGAAATACCACTGGGATGAAAGTAGCTGTCTTCTGTTTAACCTTGAAACTGTCAGGCTTCATTGAAAATAATGAGGCTTAACAATCATAGCTTCTGCTTTTCAAATGAATGATGACTGAAATCATCAAAATGAGGTATCCCGCACCAAACACAAACTGTGCAGGGCTTATTTGCCTTTTGTTTCAGTCATGTGTGGATTTGCAAATTTATTTACTCTTTATTAGAAGAAAGAAAAAAAAAAGCAGCAGGGGATTAAGAAACCATACCTTTGAAGGAGATTTAAACAATAATGTAAAAGAGAAACTGTAACAGCTATTTATAAGATAAAATAACAGAGGGCAAAATTCACCCCTACACAGACACAAGACCCAATATACCACTGAAATCCCACTTAAGCCTACAAAATAAAGCTATGGGCTGAATCGGTGGTTAATAACTCTTGATACAGGCCTCAGGGGGCTTTTCGGAACGATAATCCTGGACTCTTTGTTCACCAAGGGCCCAACTCTGCCATCCCGACTCACACTAGGCAACATTTTTCTTTGTGAGTAATAAAAGGCAGCTAACAAGGCCGTTTGTGTCAATGAGGTACTACCTGCAAGGGGTGAGGGTGGCAAAATCGCCCCTTGTCGATAAGGCTCTGTATCCAGCCCGGCGGGATGCTGCAGGCAGCTCCTTTTGGAGGCTGAGCATTTTCATCTGTGGTAAACTGAAGGAATAATCTTATACCTCAAGATCAAAGGTAACTTAAATATCTAAACAGATGAATGGGAGGTGCTGGGAACTACCCTAAAAGTCTCGGTGTTTGTGGAGTTTTATTCAAAATACAGAAGACACTGACCTGAAGAAAGAGACTTTTATTACTTTGTGCAATCATGATGTATCTGCCACTATAATCTCACCGTATTTTACTTAACTGAAAGCAATACTGACTATGTTTGACCGTATACTCAGACACAGATTTAACAAATGACATTTATCTTTTTGCTTGTGAAGGAAACAGTCCTCATAGTATAAATTAAATACACGATATAACACAATCTTCTCCTGAGATGTAAGAGAGACACTCACTGAACTTATTTCATGAAGCAACCAAACAAGTCATTCAAGAAGAAAGTATTTCAGCTGGTGTTTTCGGTCAGACAGAAGAATGACATGGTGGGCAACTCAGCTGCAGCGCTGAAGGTCCAAATGTGCAAGGACAAACAGACACGTTTAGGAATGTCCAACAAAGCCTCTTAAGGTCTCACTCCTCCTTCTCACAGATTTCAATGTCTTGCTTAGAGATTTTGGAAAACCCCAGTAGGTGACCTTCACTATTTCTTGGTACTTAACTAATTCTAGAGAATCTGTCCCTTAACAAATAAATTTTCTTAGCAAATGCCACTTCAGCATTCTCTACACAATTACTGTGTGTGTGCACATGCAAAATGAGTACAAAATGGCATATGCAACACAGGAACAAAATATATATTCAGATAGATAGGTACAACTTTGGTTTTATATATACTGACTTGCATGTACCCAAAGTAAAGAAGTCTTGCATTTTTTGGGATAGATAGAATTTGCGTCCATGAAAAGCACAAAGACGAGAACTAGAAATATTCTTTATCTACACTACCTATTTCTTTAGTGCTCAGCTCAGTGCTTCCATGAAATGGGAAAATAAAAAAACCATAAATTAGGACAGTGACATCTGGCCCATCTTTATTTTTAAGTTAGCAGAAGATGTAACATTGTGAAGAGTCTTGAATTGCAGTGCCTTAATTCTTCCTCAATACAAACTTGGAATTAGGCAAATCTGTGTTTTAATACAGAAATAAAAAGATTTCCTTGAGGGGCTTACTGCTGTGATATTACCAGTTTGAATATGTACTTTTGAAAGTGTTGTTAAGCTTAAGAAGGTCGTCATCTTCAGAGGAATGCTACCTAAACAAGAACATTGCTAGGTGTGTCTTCCCCGAGACAAATTCTCAACCATTCTCAACGCCTCTTTCAGTTATTCCAAATTGTGTTCTCTTATCACCTATGCATACATCTGACAGAATGCCTGTATGGAGTGTATGTTGTTATATGAAGCGTTCTTATGTAGCTCCTGAACTGTCTGACAATCTGATTTGATTTTTAGCAAAGCCTCACAGAGCTCTACTCCCTTGAGTATAAATAATTTTGGTTTTAGAATCAGTCTCCATAAAGTAGACTTAAACCCCTCACTGACAGAGAAGTTTGTTCCAGGAGCCCAGAAGCTGGATGTATAGTTGCAAAAATGTTATGTACTGGTCTCCAGTGCTGACTCTTAGGTGCGTTTTTGGCTTGCTCTCCTCTTTCACGTACTCTGTTGAAGAAGTCTAGCTCTAAACTGTTGCTTGGGATCAATAAAATCTGCAACTGAGTGAACCCACATAGATCAGTATATCCTCCCACACTGCTCCATCTCCGACCAAACGAACTCACCCCAAAGGAGAGCAGTGGCCTTTATCCACAAGTTCTGAATATGACAGTTATGCAGTCACAGAGTGACCTTCCAGGGCATCATGCCCCAGAAATAGCCAAAATGGATACCCAACTGAAAGAAAAGGGCATCCGTCAAGTAGCCTATGTCCTAATCTGCAAAGCAATATATAGACTAGCTGAAAACAATAGCTTCTACCTGCAGATGGAGGAGTTAAGTGATAAAAACAAAACCCTGTTGGATTTTGAAATGCTATATAAAGGCTTATAAACCTAAACTATAACCCTTGGTTATCTTTCCAGTAGATAAGATTAGGCTCA